GACACTATTCCGAAGATATCCCGGACGTCAGTCTGAGCGAGATTAGAATGGTTCTCCAGCTCCTTAAAAACAGCAAGGCCCCAGGCGAGGATGGAATTACAGCGGAGCTTCTGAAAGCGGGTGGAAAACCGGTACTTGAAGTCCTTCAGAAGCTCTTTAATTCCGTCCTCCATGGTGGCATTACACCGGAGGCTTGAAGCGGAAGTGCGGTGGTCTTGTTGTTTAAGAAAGGTGACAACGCTCTCTTGAAGAACCACAGACCAATTTCGCGGCTCAGAAGCCGCGTCTACGTGCTGTTTTCGAGAGTCATTACGAATCGTCTCGCGCGCATACTTGATGACTTCCAGCCTCCCGAACAAGCCGGTCTCCAAAAGCGCTTTAGCACCATAGACCACATATATACCCTTCGGCAAATTGTACAGAAGTCCGAAAAGTACAATTTGCCACTATGTCTGGCGTATGTGGACTATGAGAAAGCCTTTGATTCCGTTGAAATTTGGGCGGTGCTGCAGTCCCTTCAGTGGTGCCAAGTTGACTGTTGGTATATCGAAGTGCTGAAGTGTTAGTACAGTAGCTATCCGAGTACAGAAACAGAGTACGAAACCTATCCAACTGCAGAGAGGTGTAAGACAGGGTGACGTTATATCCCCGAAACTCTTCACCTCTGCATTGGAAGACGTTTTCAAGCTACTGGACTGGAAAGGATGCGGTATTAACATCAATGGCGAGTACATCACTCAACTTCGATTTGCCGACGATATAGTCCTTATGGCAGAATCGCTGGAGGACCTAAGCATTATGCTCAATGACCTCAATAGTGCTTCCCAACGGATAGGTCTTAAGATCAACATGGACAAAACAAAAATCATGTTTAACGTCCATGTCACACCTATGCCGGTAGTTGTTGGGAACACTAAGCTCGAAGTTGTTGACGAGTATGTTTACCTGAGACAAATAGTCTGACTAGGTAAGTCCAACTTCGACCGAGAGGTCAATTGACGGATTCAACTCGGCTGGGCAGCGTTCGGGAAACTACGACACGTCTTCTCGTTAGACATATCTCAAAACCTAAAAACGAAATTGTACAACCAGTGCGTGTTGCCAGTGATGACTTACGGATCTGAGACGCGGTCCTTCACTGCTAGCCGTATGAGGAAGCTCAAGGTCGCTCAGCAAGCTATGGAGAGGGCTATGCTCGGAGTGCCTCTGCTTGATAAACTTAGAAATGAGGATATCCGCAGTAGAACCAGAGTAACCGACATAGCCCAACGGATTAGTAAGCTGTAGTGGCAGTGAGCTGGCCGTATAGCTCGAAGAACCGACAAACGATGGGGAGAAAGGTTCTCGAGTGGCAGCCTCGTACCGGTAGGCGAAGTGTAGGGCGACCCCCCACTAGATGGAGTGACGACCTGGTGAGACATGTAGGAAGTCGATGGATGCAGGTGGCTCAGGACCGTGCTTTGTGGCATTCCTTGGGGAGGCCTATGTTCAGCAGTGGACTTGTGAAGGGCTGTAATGGTGATGATGATGACATGTGAAGTTCGCTAACAAACATTGGGGTAGCGCGGCGGACATTTACTTGCCCTAAAACCCTCTCAGAAATAAGAGGAGGCTTGTGCCCAGCAGTGCGACGTATAAAGGCTGCAACTTTACTTTACTTTTTCTGGTACTCGAAGACGTTTCCCGAGAAATATGGCACGGCCGGTGTATATTGCATCACTAGTGCTGTCGTTGTTACCAGTTTGCAAAATATCATTGATATGCAGTAGAAACAGCGTTGGTGATAGCACGCAGCCTTGTGGAACGCCAGCATTAATAGGCTTGTAATCAGAGCATGCACCGTCTACTACGACCTTCATGCTCCGATCAGCAAGGAAACTGGTGATCCAATTGCACAATTTCTCGAGAAGCCTATAGGAAAGGAGCTTCGAAAGAAGCGCTTTGTGCCAAATCCGATCGAAGGCATTCGCAATGTCCAAACTAACGGCCAATGCCTACCCCTTAGACTCTACTGCCTCCGCCCATCTATGAGTTAGATAGACCAGAATATCACCAACTGATGAACCCCGACGAAAACTGTTTATAATGGATTCCATTATTTTGGAGAACAAGGAGGTGTTGGTGATAGGCCTGTAGTTTGACGGGTCTAAGTGGTCGCCTTTTTTAGGGATCGGGTGAACCAAAGCTGTCTTCCATGAATTTGGGATAACGCCTTAGGAGTAGAAGTACCGGAAAAGACGCGTTAAAACAGGTGTCTACTTCGGAGCACACGTCTTCAGCACAATGGAAGGGAACCGAGTGCTGTGTAAGCCGCACATCTGGCATGGAACACTCAAACCGCGGGATGGTCGGCGGTGTATTCCTCCGTCATCGAGAGTCGAGTTGCACGCAAAAAGAGAGATTAACAGATCGGCTTTCTCCTTTGCGGCATGGAATCAGTGAGTCGCTCTCTCTTTGCAGAGAGGGCTGACAGAAGTTCCCTTGGACAGCCTTAGCAAGAGACCAGAATGAACGGGTTACCGAAGGAAGGCGAACTAGCCTCTCACCAACTCCGCCGATGTGCTCTGACCTTGCCTTGGCAATTAATTTTGAAGAACCTGGAGGCGGAATTATACTTCTTTTGAAGAACGCTGATGTTTACATCTCGATACATCAACGTCTCGGAATGTAAAGATGTCGTCAGCCCCCGATGGGAACCACAGAAGATGGAATAAAAAGTTCCATATCCTCAAGTACCATATCAGTGACAGAACCAGCAACATTGCTGGGATTGTCCAGCGGGAAGCAAATTCGCCCTCAAGGGTAGAATGCAAAATTAAGACCGCATCCTTTCCCAATCGGCCGATATATAGTGCCAAACACGGCGGCTGCCTGCAGAATGCAACCGCGAAGATAGTGTGAGTGACACCACCCTTCGGACAAGACAATGGCCCTAGGAGCCGTGAGGGGTGTCAACGGAAACCTGATATCCGTCCGGATAAGAGGTCAGCAGAAGTTCCAACAGGGAAGGCGCATGATCCTCCACATCTGGAATCCGCGTAGGCGCGTAGGTAGTAACCAGCTGTGCAACCATATGCCAAGGCAAAGTCATAAACAAATTTCCCCACATGATCGGTTAAATGTGAACCGAGCCATTCGGCGTGATGGTCGTTAAAATCGCCAAGGATCACGATCTCTGAGGATACCCCCCTACCCCCCACTCCCCTGTATACCAGAATACGCGGGGCAGCTTGAGCACACATGCCCAGGAACAGTAGGGTAGCTTGGGCGTGGGTGCTCAGCGAAGGATTCTCCGTCACCAGGATTCTGGTACCCTCCTGGGGTAGTTTTTTATTTGATGCCGCTACCATACTTTAAGGGGGGGGGGATTGGGCCTCCGACCACCCACACCTACCAAGCGAAACGCAGAAGTAAATTTCTACTTCACGCTGGTATTCTGTGAGGTCGTGGTACTACCCTGGTTCGAGCTGGCCCATCCATGCGATAGCAAAAGCTGCCGCGTGGCTCTATCTACTACTACTGTTAAAACGTAAACATGGAATGAATTCTATTTACTTTTTTCAGCCCATCATAAATAAACAACCGATATACAAGAATAAATTATTTTCTTCATTATGAGACACGTCCAGTCTTAACGAATAAACCAAACACAATAACTGCCTTTCTTTCTTCAAAACTTCTCTAATACTTTCCAGTTTTTCGTAAACGCCAAACTCCCACTACACACCCTGATCGCGACTAAAACAATGTATCGCTTGAAGGCAGATAATTGATGTGTGCCCGCATGCGGCGATGCCGCATAAGCACCTCGCAACGTGAATCTACCTGTCCTATTCATAACTGCATTTACGTTTTACGGAATTAACCGGTTAATTTGGGTGTCGAAACCGTTAAGTAACCGGTAATCTTTATCGTTTAGGTTTAATAAAAACCGGTTAATTTTTTAACCGGTAATTGAAGGAGCGATAAATTTACCGGTAATTAATCGAAATTAACCGCTCTTTTTAAACCGGTTCCGAGCCCTGCCTTAAACATTCTTTTTTTCGAAACTATAGTTTTATAAAAAAGATGGATACCTAAATACGTTTTGTTGCATTTGATTTTATGTTATGTTTAGGTTATAAATGTGTTTTGTTGTTTATTTTAGTTAATTTTATTTTGTCGTGTCTGAATAAATGCAGATTTTAATTTTTTTTCCGTTTTAGCAAATCACCTTAAAACTTCAAAAAATCCGGATAATCCGGATTTTAATTATAGGAAAATTCAGAAATTCGGCTTTTTTTTAAAAAAATCCGGATTTTGCTATCTCTAATTGATGCCCTAATTGTTAAACCGCGTAACAACAGCTATTCGCCGTATAGTAGAGACGTAAGAGAACCCACTAAAATAGAATGGAGTGTAATGGAATTAAATGCAATGGAATGGAATAGAGTCGAAGGGAACGGGACGAGACGGGACGGAATGGAATGGAGTGAAATGGAACGTAATGAGACAAAACAAAACAGACTAGAATATATTAAAACAGAACAGAAAAGCACAGAACAAATGAAAGGGAAGGAAAGGAATGGGATGGAATGGAAAAGAATAGACAATCTATGGGTGAAGCCTATGTCCAGCAGTGGACTTGGGCTGTGATGAATTAAGCATTAGATTATTAATAGCTAAAGCTAAGTACCCGCCTGCCAAGCATGGCAATTATGGCTTTTGTGGCAATCTATGGGGGAGGCCTATATCCCGCTGTGGACTTGTGATGAGCAAACATTATGATAATAATGATTTCAGGTATGACCTTGAAGATGAGCCTAGGGACCACTTAATATGAGAAAGAATAAATTAAGTTTTGAGTCAGATATCATTATTTATTTTGGAGGTATATTATTTAAAGAATTCTAGGACTCTCCCTACATTGTGGCATTCTTATGGGATGTCTATGTGCAGCAATGGACTTGTTGCTATAATAATGATGAGGATGATGATGTTAATAAGAATATTGCATGTAGGTTACGCCTGGTCAAGCATGTGCCAATAGAAATACCCCGGAAGAAATAGCTGTAGCCACCGTTACAGCTCTACTTCGAGCAGTACCAGCAGCTGTTCCAGGTAATTATCAATAAATTATTATTTTAGCAATTAATTATTATTTTTAACAAAAAGTTATTATTACGTATTCAGGTAGCATTTCGAGTATTGGACATTTTCTTGCACTTAAACCATTGTAATTACTGGTTAGAGAGCCAATATGATTACAGGCTATGAGGCATTCCGTCTGAATCTTCAGAGGTAACAACGCATTGGTAGTCTTCTTTGTTTGAAACTGGTCGCTAGTGTGCATGGACTGTAGTAGCCACTTAAGGGGCTACTCCATGCGAACGACCTTGAGCATTTTGCCGGCGGCACGTCGCTCGCTTCAATATATTGCTTATTTGAAATATGTACGACGCCACCACCTTGTAGGTACGAACGTAGTATTATTTTTTCAACATCAATGAACTAATTTATGGAAATACGCACAGCGTACAACGATAAATATATTTTAATTTTTTTATTCGGTATATTAGTTGCATTATATTAGAATTATGTATTTTCATATATTATCTAATTATGAAATTTTATAATTAATTATATATTAAAAATGAAGCATTGAAAATTGTGAGTTTAAAAGATACCTATTCACTATAGGTAAATAAATAGATAGCTCACCTTTTGTACAAATATTTGGTGCAATAAAGAATAAATAAATAAATAGGATGTTTCGTAGATGTGTTTTTGATTATTGTTAATTTTTACGTGTCATGTATTGAAAAGTAATATACCTACCTACTAATACAAAAATCAACAAGAAGTATAAGGGTTCAATCTTTCAATTTCAATTGTAAAAAAACGTTACCCCCACACTAGGATTTTCTCCTGTGTCGTGGAGGCAGTTTACAAACATAAATTGCACAAGGACAAACATCCAGACCCGGAACAATTATTTGTAGGCCATACAAATATTTGTTCCGTGCGAGATTCGAACCCGCGGCCCCCAGCGCAACAACTGATTGCTAAGCCACTACGTCACGGAGCCGTCGCCGGGTTATAGCTAAAGTGACCATACGTCCCGTTTTGAACGGGACTGTCCCTTTTCTCGGTCACCTCTCCCATTGTCCCCAAACAAAGCTCCGGGACACAAAATTGTCCCGTAACTCGTTGGATGGAAGTATTCAAAGTCAACAATCTTCAACATAATTTTTTTTAATCGAATATATTTTATGTCTACCTGGTACGAATGCTCCGCTAGAAAGAGTATTTTTTTATTTTGAATAAATTGTGGACGTCTGAAAGAAACACTTACGGTTCCAGAGTTCTAAAGGCGATGTTGTTAACAAAGATAACAATAAAAAAACTTGAGCAGAATCTTATTTTTATTTAAAATCATCACCAACTTTATTAAAGCAAATTTAATCCACTGACAAATGTAATTAATAATTTAAAAAAATATGTTGCATTTAATAATTACCGTCTATACCGAATATAATTTTACAGTGAACACTAATTGTATAAAGTTATAGTTTTTAAAGTTATAGTATTATAGTTATAGTATTAGTATAAATAAACCCATGTCCTGTTTTGAGTTAAAAAGTAAATGGTCAGTTTAGTCTTTTTAGTTAAATTTAGTTTTAAAATTTTTTAGTTAATAGTAAAAAGTAGGTATATTAGTACCTACTTAGATACTTTTTACCGAATTATAAGTATAGAACACCTTATTTACTCAATTATTTTTTGAAAAAGAAGAAAAAACAAGTAATAAATAATATACTATATTTTAGCAAAAAACTATAACTTAGTAATACTAATTATAACTTAGTACATAAATTAAAAACTCATAACTGACTTTTTGGCCCGACCCAGGATTCGAACCCGGGACCTCATGATCTGCAAGTCGCACTACTACAACCACTAGACCAACGAGGCAGTACTATACTTAATAAGATATTGTGGTTGGGTGATAATATTGAATTAGCCTTTTATAATGTAAATTATAATATTTGTCGAAATTTTAATTATGGATTCGAACCTTACATGGTAATGGTGCTTCATTTTTTTATTTGCATTTACTTCAAAGAAAATACACGCAAAAAGCTTCATCGCGCAGTAAAAAACACAACAAATATATGTATAACTAATACGAAAAATTATACCCAAAACAAACAAATAATACTACCTATAAATGACCTAATAAGTAATAATATTATAATATTATCGACTGATAAGATGACGTGAGGGCACACGGCGCTGGCAGACGCTCTAACGACACGGGTTCCACGTCGAAGAGCTCAGGGCTCACTGACTTGAGCAAGCCCGTGAGCAGTGAATACGCCCAGATTTTAAAATAATTTCTTAATAAAATCAAATTTTGGTCTTTTGAAAAAAATTTTACTATAGAAATGTTCATTAATAAATTGCCTATCCATTGGTGTAAATCGCAAAATAAAATAATACTTACTTTACGAGGAGATGCATGTTATCAATAATAATTTCACATTTATGTGGTTTCGTTGTAAGGAGATTATATTAATATTTATTCCTTTAAAAAAAAATTGGATATAGCTTTTATGGAATCAAGATTATGTAGAAATATAATGTGTTTTTTATTTGTTGATATATCTCTTAAATAAAAAGTAGATAGCTCCTAAAAATCGCACAAATAACGACGAACGCGACATTTTGCTCAACCTGCGCCTTAATATCAGTTGGACTTTGAGGTCGTTCCTATAATTCAATTTTAAATCAAAAAGTTCTATGCACAGCAGTGGACGTATATAGGGCTATAATGATGGTATTTTATTATTATTATTTTATTTCATCGAATAAGGGTGACAAACGTATGTAAGTGGTTGATGTTGCCCATAGACATCAACTAGTGCGGTTAAAGAATGGGATTGAAAATGGCGTTGCCTCGATTCATCTCTCGCTCGCACACTGTTGCTATCTCTCTCTATAGCGCTATCCACCGGTAAAAACTGCAAAAAAATACGTTGCGATAAGCGTTTTACGTACGTTCTATAACTTCAATCCAACCTGTGCTTGGAATTAACGATAACAAAATGGCATAAACTACAAAAAAAAATTAGTCCGGTTTCGCTAATGCCCCAATGTTAGCTAAGACGCGTTCTGAGAGTTTCCTTCATAATTATTGTTAATTTAGATTGTTAACATTTTTGTTTAAAATATTTAAATGCCATTGAGACATAAATTTTATAATTTTCGTTTGTCTGTTTGTCCGAGCTAATATTCGCAATGGCTGAACTAATTGTAATATAATTTAACAACAAATATAAAATAATACCAGGAGTGAATTTAGACTAAATTTTATACCAAAAATTGAGAGACTTTATTAAAATAGAAATATTGTTATCTTAAGTATAAATAACGTCACATTAATAGATCCCACCCAGGCGAAGCTACATTAGGTTCGCTAGTTATAAATGTTATTTTAAAATTAATGTACCTACTTGCATATATACTTCTTTTTAAATATTATCCTATTATTAGAAAATTTCCAATTAACCGAATAATATGACTTTATAACGATATACTGTTAAGAGCAGGTTTTCGCTATTGGTACTCGTACTGTGCATGTTGACGGTACGGGTTCGGGGAGGCGCCATTTTTAATCCCATTCTTTATCCGTACGGACAGTACATCTATCGTCGTTTAAGAATCTAAATTATCACTTCTTAGGACTAAGATGGAATGTCTCGTTTCCAGTAAAAAGGGTCTCCGGTTTTCTACACTAACCATACGAAACAGAGGCATTAAGTGGCTATTTTACGCTGGTATTCTGTGAGAGCGTAGTCAGCATGGCTCTACCACTTGTATTTCTACGTAAGTTATATTTCTTATTTAAAAACGATATAGTAACAATCACCTTATCCCCATGGGTCATTTTTATTCCAGTATTCTGTATTAATCTATACAAATAAATAAAATTAAAGTGTCTGTCTGTAATATCGAAATAATTACTGACTTCTATATTAAGCTCAGGTGATTTTTTGCATGTATTTAACAACTGTTTGTTTGTCCGGGCTAATCTTTGGAATGCTTGAACCGATTGTTATAAATTTTCATCAAAGGTCTAACCTTTGCAAAACCACTAGTAATCTAAGGTATATTTTATCCGAAAAATATGAAGATATTGTTTTTTTGTAAAATTGATAAACTGATAATTGGCTTTTACGGATAGGACTACAGGTTTTTTGTTTGAGTTTTATTGGCACAAAGTCAAAGGTGTAAAAATATTGTATTATAATATTTATATGTAAGCAAAAGGGATAAGCGTTTGGCTGTGTCTCTGCAGGGCTACAACGGAATTTGAAATCAGTATTTGTATGACCTACAAATAGCAATTGTTCCGTGTCTGGATGATCGCCTATGTACAATTTATGTTTGTAAAAAGCCTTCTCGATACGGGAGAAATTTAACATTCCTGTGTCGTCTGCAAAATTTCAGATTATTTATGAATTTGAAAGTGTATAAAAGCTGACTTGCAAAAGATAAAATAAGCATAAATGCATACGTAGGTACATTAAGCCAAGCTATTATAAAAGGTGTAAAAACAGAGTCGCTTTGAAAACCATCTTGTTTTTTTTTCATACTTTATAAAGCTACATTTCTCGTTTCTCTTAAGCTCGGTATATACCTAATTTTTTTTTAATATTAACGAAGTGTAATAAAAAGGGGCATTATGAATGAAAAACGAGGCTTTTAGTGAAATGCAGCCAGATTATACTACGTAATAGTTTACGAGAATAGGACCTCTAATCAAAAAGTACAGAAGTAAAAAAGATTACACAATATTACTGTTACAGCCTATTTTAATCCGCTCCTGAAAATAGGCCTATCTCATAGATTGCCTAATCGGGGGAATATTTGCCGTAGTTGCCATGCTGGCAAGCGGATTGACAACCGATAATACCGGATAATTGCTATATTAAGATTATTATTATAATATTTATTATATTAATAAATATAATTATATGTTTAAATGATTAAATGAAATTAAATGCCTAATGGTTAATTGATTCCATTACTTAATTTGTATATGTATGTAAGTGTGTCCTTGGTTTTCTAATTTTTACGCAACGTTGTATCGAAATTAATTGAAATATTGATCTAAGAGTAGGGCCCTGCCGTCAGGCCTCTGTCACTCTTGCTACCTGTATGAAATAAATGCCTACAATCGTGTGGAACCTCGGGTTACATACGTAGTAAGGGCTAGCGCGGTGAGCGATGTACTAGTGGTTTTCATAGTTTTTTAACACTGTTTATGTAAATACTTGTTTATTGTAAATACTTGTGTCAATATGTTTGTTTATTGTTTATTCTATTTAGTTATAGGATAAAATAGTTGTTTATGTTTTAGTGTAATTTATTAGTATATTATAGAAAATATATTCATTAACAATTTAGAAAACATAATGATGATAAAACCGGCAAATAATTTACTAAAATTATTAATAAATATTAATTTTATCACTCCGTGTTATTGTTTTCTCTCCCAGTATTTAAGTACTTAAAACTATACGCAAGATTTAGTTTTTTTTACTCTTGAATTAAATAACCGTTAGTTTAGAGACGGTAAAAATATAAGACATTATAGTAAAGTTAAACAGTTGTAAATTAAATAAATAATCAAAAGATGCTATATATGTACTGTATTTTTTACTCTTTGTTGAAAGCCCTGGGTAACCACGATGTGTAGTAGAAAGTGGAAAGGATGCAAATCCACACGGACACGCGCGCGCAGCGATAAGGTTTAATTTAGCTTGCGTGCGTGATTTATCTAATTAATAATAATTATGTAGGTAGATGGAGTGACTACCTGGTAAGACATGCAGGAAGTCAATGGATGCAGGTGGTTCAGGACCGTGCTTTGTGGCATTCCTTAGGGGAGGCCTATGTTCCGCATTGGACTTGTGATGGGCTGTAATGATGATGATGATAATGTAGGCTATTAAAACGACGGCAAGTTGTAAACACTAAAGGACTGTAAAAACTTCAGTAAAAACTACGGTTGTAAACCCGCCTGCCATGCGTGGCAACTGTGGTAAGTATCTCCCCTATCGTATCGTCCTATCAGGTTATAAGATAGTGAGGTAATAAAGAGCGTATCTCTGCTTGTGCACCCACTCGTGCACTATAACCCTGTTCTGCGCAGATGGCTAGTCGGTCTGGAGGACATTATTACTATTATTTTATTTATTATTAAAGTTGAATAATTTTAAATTATTAGGAATAGCGTTTCTCTCCGGCGGTCAGTCTGAAGAAGAGGCAACCATTAATCTTAATGCCATCAACAAGGTCCAAATGAAGAAACCTTGGACACTGACCTTCAGCTATGGACGAGCTCTTCAAGCGTCTGTGTGGAAAAGTTGGGCAGGGAAGGATGAAAATGTGAAGAAAGCTCAATTGGAATTGATTAAGAGAGCTAAGGTATAACTGTGCCTTTTTTAAAGTACCGATTTTGTGGGTTGCGTTCACTATATTATAGCGTTGTTATACCATCCTCCTTCCTAGTAGGCCGTCAGTAGTCCACAGATGGACATGGGCTTCTCCCATAATAAGGACGACTTGCTATGCCGGCAGAGTAACTCATTTTGTTGCACTATAGGAATTGCTTAGAATTATGAGAAAAAATCAACTCCTACCCTTATGAGAATAAACAACCCTTATAATATATGGAAGGCCACGAGATCTTTTGAAGCTTTCCTTATGTCACCTTTTACGGCACCCCTCCCTTGATTTAATCAATATGGATGTTATATTTCACGCTGTTATCCTAAATATATGACAGCGTCATTAATACAAATAATAAAACACAACATTAATGGAAAAATTTAATTCTCTCGTGAGTATCGTGAACTCGAATAGATCGTAAAACTTAAAAGAATTTAGATTTTTATTAAAACATACGGGAAGAAACATCTACATAATGCGAGTGAAACTACTACGGGACGGTCTTTTTTCAGTTGTGATTTTACAAGTTAATGATGTAATTTGAAGTGAAAGATACATGTTACATTAATAGCAACATCTTTACATTTAAAGGATAAATTGACCTCATACTTGTAGAAGTTTAGTTAGGTAAACACTAGCATGTAAGACCACGTGTGGTGTGGACGTGTGATGCACTCACTGCTGTGTTCCGGTTTAAAATGTCAGGGTCATTACAATTATAGGTAAATCATTTTAGCCCACAGTTGTGACATTATTCTAAAAATGTTGACAACATTTATGTTTCCAATTATTTACAACTCAACAAAAGTTACCAAAATTTGTTTCCGATGTTGCCGACAAATGTTTCCAACAAGTGATTCCACCGAGGGAACAAATGTTTGCAACAAGCGTATTCCTTTGATGTTGCCGCCGAAAATTGAAACACGGTTCCCGACATTGTTTCAAGTTTTGTTGCCAACACTAGGTATTTACAGAAACATTTGTTATCAACACGTGTTGGTAACACAAAAGTTGGTAACAAAACTTGACGGAGACGAGGCTTTAGATGTAGTCTTAGACTGAAAAATGAAGTTGCTATATTATGTCTTTAAAGAATACTAGCAATACTATTAACACTAGCACTACGAATACTCATTTAACTGAACTAAAATAAAATGTCTATACCGGTAAAGGTAAGCAGCGTCAATGGTACGAAATGTTTGGTACTGCAATCGTCAAATCACCTACTAAGCTTGGTGATTATGGCAAATTGTCCCAATGTAAAAATCCCATGAAGCATTGGACTTTTGAGTGACTTTGACTGAGTCCTTTAGAAAGAAGGATAGAAATAAAAAAAAAAAACATATATTGCAAACACGCCACACACATAAATTAGGCACTTATTTTTTTGTACATATCAATTAAAATCACAATAAAATAAAAAAAAAGAAACAACAACTTAACAGATACATTCAAAAATGGAAACACTGCCTTTGAGATGGGTTCTCATTGTAAGGTTTGTTTTTTAAATGATTTTTTAACAGAGTATTTATTTGTGATATTGCGTAAAAAGCAAAAAGCAATGTGTTAAAATTAAAAATTAAGCGCCTCATTTTGCTATCAAAGATAAATTATCAAAAAAAAATACGTTGTCAAACATTGTCCCTCGAAACGGATATAAACCTTTGAATAATTACAACCTAAAATATTTAATAAGTATACTAAGTTTTAGACTATATGCGCAAAAAGATATAAATTTTGAATTTATAAGATTTATCATTTTGCATAATCATGTAATATTTCAAACAGGCAAACGGATTGGCGGCCCTCGGCAAATATGAAAAGGGTGCCGTTACAACAGCTGCCGGTGACGCGTCAAATTACAGCAAGAACCATAAATATTAAATAAAGATCCTGCCCATTTTTACTGTCTATTAATTTCTACCGTATTTTTCTTTAACGTAACAGAGATTAATTCAATTTGTCTTTAGAACCAACGAAGATAATTTATAAATTTTCAAAAATGATAGCCAGTAAAAGCCTCAGTAGCACCGGAGACCCTTTTTTCTTGTAACGAGGCCTGTTCTCATCTTAGTACTCAGGGACGACAACGAATCTGCATTTTGATTCTTAATCGAGGATCAATGTAAGTCTCTATGAGCTATAGCATTCACTTATCATCAGATAGACTATTTGCTTCTTTAATCACCTTTAATTCTATAAAAATCCGATAATTACTTCTTACCTCCTACAATACCGATTAAATAAAATGGGCAAATATTCATATTCCAATATAATAAAATATATAAATATATTTATGGAAACAACATTTTATGTCACCTCCACATATATATCAGTATGGAACTGCCATATTTGGTAGCCTTTTGGCACTATAGGTCGGCCGATTGGGACGGGATGCGATATTTTTGCGTCCTACCCTTGGGTTTGCTTCTCGCCGGATGATCCCAACGTTGTTGCTGATTCTATCGCTGATGTGGTACCTCAGGGAATGGAATTATTTATTTCATAATCTGTGGTACCTATCGGAGGCAGAACTCAGCCATGGTTTGGTCACTTCTGTAAAATTGCAGCACGCTATAAGCAGGAGTGCTATCGGGCCTGGGCTGATACATAAACGTCCCGGGATGTAAATATCAGCACTCTTAATAAGAAGTATAATTCCACCTCCATGTCCTTCACAAGTGTCATTCCAAAAGCAAAGTTAGAGCACATTGGCAGAATTGGCGAGAAACTAGTTCGCCTCCATTCGGGAACACGTGCATACTGGTCTTTCGCCAAGGCTGTCCAAGGGAACTTCTATCAGCCATCTCTGCCATCTCTGCACAGGGTGGACGACTCACTAGCCCATGCCGCAAAGGAGGAAGCCGATTTGCTAGACTCTCTCTTTTCTTCCAACTCGACTCTCGATGACGGGGGAACACACCGCCGAAAATCCCGCGGTAGGAGTGCTCCATGCAGGAAGTGCTGTTTACACGCAAAGTGTGTTATGCGCAAAGCACTCCTCTCCCTGGACGTTCTCAAATCGAGTGGGCCTGATGGGGTCCCACCTATTGTGCTGAAGTCGTGAGCTCCGGAGTTGGCACCGGTTTTAACGCGTCTTTTCCGGTATTCCTACTCCCTAGGCATAGTCCCGGACATGGAAGACAGCTTTGGTGCACCCGATCCCTAAAAAAGGTGACCGCTCAGACCCGTCCAACTACAGGCCCATCGCCATCACCTCCTTGTTCTCCAAAATAATGAAATCTATTATAAACTGTCAGCTCATGAGGTACCTTAAGGATCACCAGCTGATTAGTGACCGTCAGTATAGTTCCCATTCAGGTCGCTCAGCTGGTGATCTTCTAGGTTACCTAACTCATAGATGAGTGGAGGCAGAGGAGTCCAAGGGCCTCCCCCTTGGACTCCTCTGCCTCCACCCACCCGTTGACCATTAAATTGGACATAGCGAAAGCCTTCGTTCGGGTTTGGTACAAAGCGCTTTCTTCCTATGGGCTTCCCGAAAAATTGTGCAATTGGATCACCAGTTTTCTTGCAGATCGGAGCATCAAGGTCGCAGTAGACGGTGCATGGTTCGATTACAAGCCCACTAACGCTGGCTTCCACAAGGCTGCGTGCTATCAACGACGTTGTTTCTTCTGCATATCAATGATATGTTGCAAACTGATAACATTCATTGCTATGCAGACGACGGCACTGGTGATGCTTTATACACCGGCCTTGCCAATATTTCTCGGGAAAACGTCTCCGAATACCGGAACAAACCTGTGTCTGAAGATGACAATTTGTTGAACAACGTCTTGGACTGGAGACGACTAAATCTAGTCCAGTTCAATTCCCAGAAGACACAAGTTTGCAAGTTTACCGCTAAAAAGAACCCCTTTGTCATATCTCTTCAGTTTCAAGGTACTCCCCTTGTTGCCTCAGCAGTATTGTAATCAAATCGAGGAAAAATATCGAGTGACGTGCAGTTTCGTGGTCACTTGGAAGAGAAGGCCAAATTGGCCTCTAAAAAGCAGAGCGGGGCAGTATTTCATGCCGGCACACCGCTTGCAACTTTACAAGGCGCTGGTTCGGCCCCATATGGAATACTATTCCCATCTCTGGGCAGGGCTCCCCAGTGCCAGCTCCTTTCACTTGACCGCATCCAGCGCAGAGCGGTTCGAATAGTCGACGGCCGAGTTCTATATGATCGGCTTGACACACTGGCACTGCGTAGAGATGTCGCATTGCTTTGCGTATTTTATCGAATCTACCACGGGCAATGCTCTGACGAATTATTCGAACTAATTCCAGCCGCTCAATTTCACCATCGCATATCGCGAAAAAATTCGTGATACCATCCATACCATCTGGACGATTGACGGTCCACCACTGTGCGATTTAGAAGAAGTTTTCTTCCACGCACAACTTTCTTGCGGAATCGATTACCACCAGCGATTTTTACCGATGACTTAGGGACCTTTAAGAAAAGAGCCTACTCCTTTTCAAAAGGCCGGCAACACATCTGCAATTCCCCTGGTGTTGCAGTTGTTCATAGGCGGTGGTAGGCACTTGGTGAGACGCGTGCTCGTTTACCCCCTCTCCTATAAAAAAAATAATTGTATCTCAAACGCAGGATCTGCATCACCGTTATCGTCGTCGAACTTTAGGTGCATAAAATAATTAAATCAATTATTAACCTATATTTTACAAATTCTGGGCAAATATCTTTATATTTTTCTTCTTTATTAGTTTATTTATGCCGTTACATACCGAAAGCATCAAAGTCATCATGCCACCGCTTTCTGAAAAAAAAAACTAGGCATAAGAGAGAACGCTGAGCTGAAAGTATGCAAATTCGGAATAGGACAACGGAACCCAAGGTGCTATCAGCTGGCTGACTTTATGGAGAAAACAGAAAGTGAACCTGGTCGAGCCCCGACGGTTCGACAAAAAATGAGATTACCTTCATTATGACGACCAGATGACAACTGTTCAGTGATATCTCAGTGATCGCGAGGTTGAAAACTTACAGCGATCACCGAATGATGAGAGGCGCACTGAACCTAAACATTAAGTTGGAGAGGTTACGTAATGAAGTCAACGCTCCGTTTCCTGCGTGCTCTAATTGAAAGCCCCGACAACTTTCAGCCGAGTTACAAAATCGTTTTCGGTGCAATCCGTTTCAGTTCGGAGCTAAGTTCTGTAAGATCCATCGCAGAAGAACACAAAAACTCTCCGATTACATTCTTAATCTTATGACTGTTAGACGGGAGATGAAGCTGCAGTCTTCAGCAGATTTGACAGCATAAAGGCAACTGATCAGACAGATCCAAATGCATGCAGCGGAACTTGCGCAACTTCAATACAGCAAAGAAGCAATCGAGCGGAACTAGGGCTCCTAAGTCTTTGCCAGAGATCTGTCTACCAGAAGGTATCATTGGAGTCACACGCGATTGTTAGTAATGATCTAAGAGCAAGTCTTATCCGACACTATTCTGATGATATCCCGGATGTCAGTCTGAACGAGCTTAGAATGGCTCTCCAATACTTTAAAAACGGCAAGTCCCGGGCGAGGATGGAATTACAGCGGAGATTCTGAAAGCGGGTGGAAAACCGGTACTTGAAGTCCTTCAGGAGCTCTTTAATTCTGTCCTACATGGTGGCACTAATCCGGAGGCGTGGAGTAGAAGTACGGTGGTTTTGTTCTTCAAGAAAGGTGAGAACGCTCTCTTGAAGAACTACAGACTGATTTCCCTTCTGAACCGCGTCTACTTGTACGTGCAGTCTTCGAGAGTCATTACGAATAGTCTCGTACGCAGACTCGACGACTTCCAGCTTCCTGAACAAGCCGGTTTCCGAAAAGGCTTTAGCACCATAGACCACATACATACCCCTCGGCAAATTGTACAGAAGACCGAAGAGTACAATCTGCTTCTTTGTCTTGGGTACATATGTGGACTTTGAGAAAGCCTTTTATTCCGTTGAAATTTGGGCGGTGCTGCAGACCCATCAGCGGTGCCAAGTTGACTGTCGGTATATGGAAGTGCTGAAGTGTTTGTACAGTAGGGCCTACGATGGCTATCCGAGTACAGAACCAGAGCACGAAACTTATCTAATTGCAGAGAGGTGTAAGACAGGGCGACGTATTATACTCGAAACTCTTCACCGCTCCATTGGAAGACGTTTTCAAGCTATTGGACTGGAAAAAATACGGTATTAACGTCAATGGCGAGTACATCACTCACCTTCGATTTTCCGACGATATAGTCCTTATGGCAGAATCGCTGGAGGACCTAAGCACTATGCTCAATGACCTCAATAGTGTCTCCCAACGGATAGGTATAAGATAAACATGGACAAAACAAAAATCATGTTTAACGTCCACATGCCTCCAAACATCCATGTTTAATGTCCAAATAGTCCGACTAGGTAAATCCAACTTCGACCAAGAGGTCAATCGACAGATTAAACTCGGCTGGGCAGCGTTCAGGAGATTACCACACATCTTTTTGTCAGGCATACCTCAATACCTCAAAACTAGATTGTACAACCAGTACGTGTTGCCAGTGACGACGTATGGATCTGAGACGTGGTCCTTCACTGCTGGCCGTTTGAGAAAGCTCAAGGTCGCTCTGCGAGCTTTGGAGAGGACTATGTTCGGGGTTTCTCTGCGTGATAAACTTAGAAATGTGGATATCCGCAGTAGATCCAGAGTAACCGAACTCTACAAATATACATTAAACTGAAATTCATCATTACATTCTTAAAACTAAATTAACTTTAATTATGAATGTATGTTAAGAGTAAAATGTAAATAATAACAATAAATTTTGATTTCAAAACAATTTGCCGTTCTCAAGGATAGGTACATCGGAATACACGCCCGATATCAAAAACAGTAG